TTTTGTAATCGAGTTTGGTGAATCTGTATTTTCAGCGGATAATAATTAAGAAGAATGGGATCCAACATTAAAAAAAAATTTCAAATCAATTTAATAAAATTTCATTGCTAATTCAAATTTGTTTTCAGAAATTCAATCTGATAGATTGGTAGTTTAATACTAATTACTAGGGCGCGGATTGTAATGCCCTAAAAAAAACCTAAAAATGCCTTAGAAAAAATGCTATTATGACCTAAAAAATTCAATTAATGACGTAAAAAAATGTACTAAAAATGTGAAAAATGATGTAAAAAAATGCACAGCATTTTTTTCATTTTATTAAAATTTAATTAATGACATAAAAAAATAGAATATTTAGAAGATGGCAATAATAGAAATAGCTGATTAGAACGATATGTATAGGTATGAAACTATATTTCGTTGAAAAACGGAAATTCTGTCCACTGACGGGACTATTAATAGTGTGGCTAGTATGTACACTAAACACACGTAGTCCGTTTTATTGTTATCGTCATCGATTATTATCATTTACCACAATTCATATATGAAACAGACGATAAAGTGTAGTTTTCAATAATTTAGTAAAAGAAAAATATTGAATACTTGAAATTTTTTTATTTCTCTCCAAAAATGCTACATTTTTCGAAAATATGAAAATAATAACCTTAAAAGTAGCGAAAATGACCAAAAATGCATTAAAGAAGTTAAAACGACAAAAAATGCAAAAAAATACAAAATAAAAATTGAATTACATGAATCTACACCACTTGAAACGCATTTTTGCCAAACTGAGCATTGCGTAAGGATTTAGGAAAAAAAATGCATTTTGCATTGAAATCCGCGCCCTACTAATTACTATTGAAAACATATTGATACTTTAAGACAAAAAAAAATATGTATTCGTTATTCGTATATAGCGCCTTATTGACATGCCACATGCGCATATAGGTATACGTGCCAGAACGCTCCACTATTTATTTTTCACTACACTAGTACTGTAATACTACAGTCACACACACACACTCACACACTAATGATCACTTACCACACACACATTCATACAAATACACGATACACACGCACTTAGAAAATCGCCTATACTGGAATCCTTTAAAACTGTCGGAATCTAATCCCAATTTGGCCATTTAATGGAAATTATGTATGCAAAGAAAAAAACCAATGTATAATATTGACATTAAGAAATCCATTAATATTGACCTTTAAACCCGGATCATTTATTATTATGTTTTTTAATTATCATACATTATCAGAGTCATGCTATGTCGTTTGACATATAGTTTAATGTTTAAAGAGATATATAAAATAAATGAAAAAACTACAGACGAGCAAACAACAAACCATTGTGAGATTATAATTGTTAGCATTACATTGCTATTTTACATTAGAATTTGTTGGATAATTTTATAAATTGAATCTTTTGATTATGTAGTACTAAAACTTAAAAGTGTTAGCACAAATAGGCAATGTTAAAAAACTGCCTAAATACAAAAATTAACTATTTTACTTATTAAAATTAATTTGATTTAGTCTCTAGTACAAGATTGCATTAAGGGGAGGGGCGATTTGTAATACTAAAATTCTAAAAAAAAAAAAATCAAATGTTTTACTTTTAAAGTTCTAACAAAATTAGTTTATTAGCTTAACTATTGATTCTTTTTTATTATTGCCAAAACTATGATTTAAAAGGTCAAGTCATGCAGGTTGTCATGCTGAACTGATTAAATATTTAAACTTTATAAATTATAATCATGTTTTGAAATATAATATAATAACTATAGTATATAGTATATGGCATAATTTTGATTTTGTACTAAATACCTACAATATTGAATTTTGAGAGACTTATCCCACCATTAAATTATTTATTTTATTTGCTCCCTATACTCTATAGCAGGGGTCAGGAACCTGCGGCTCTATGGAAAATTCCTAATAATATTAAGGAGATACGTTTTTTTGTGTGTTATTGTATTTAATTAAATAATATTATATTTGTATAAACAATTACAATAATAATAATAATGAATTAATGAAACGAAGTTTTTCTATATTTTCTAAATTTAAGACGTATCATTATGTTTTTAATGCCTATTCATTTTTCAATGAAATAATAATATTATCTTATTCTAATATTCTATAATATATTGTCTGTACTAACAACCAACTAAAAAAAGGTTGTTCGAACCTGTGTGGCTCCCTGGACATCATGGTTTTATAATTTTTGGAAAAAATGGCTTTCTTATACGAAAAGGTTAGGTTAGCCTTGCTCTATAGTAACTAACTGCAATGAATATTGAAGAATTGCGCAAGACAATGATCCTATAAACCAGTAGTTCCCAAACTTTTACGGCCACGGCACCTTTAAAAAATTGCTCGTGTTCCGCGGAACCCTAATGTCTAATCCAACTCAACTACAATTTTTCTAAATAAAAAAAGGAAAACCAATTCTCTAAACTCTCAAGTCTAAATTATATTTTAACGATACTGTTAATGACTTTTCAGTTTTCATTATTAAACTTAGTTTAAAAAAAATTTTCAACCAAACATTTTTTTTTTAAATAACAAACATTAAATAAACATAATTTTCTCAATAATCATATACATCTGGCGGAACCCTTGACATTGTCCCACGGAACCCTATAAAGTTCCGCTGAACACACTTTAGGAGACGCTGATATAAACACTATACACAAATATGGTATTTGGACTTTCCGCTCCAGAGATTTTAGCGGTACTGGATGTTTCCCCTCTAGACTGAGACATTTCCACCTGAATAAATATATATATTTTTTTAGACATAATGATAGGCTGGAAATTAGGTTCTTTGGTTCTACCAGAAATATACGTATAAGATCTTTATATCAGCATCTATCGACTATCAACATTCACGTTATGGATTTATCACCCAATAATTTTATTGATAATGATTGATTAACCAACGTTATGTGAAATCATTATTGAATTATATTTATATATTAATTTCATAATGTGTACATTTATTGTTCATTGTATTTTATTGCTTAATATTTTTACTTTGAATTTTTTGTCCTAGAGAAAATTGTCCCGTTTGGGGGGGGGGAGTAAAGTCCTATATTTAAAAATATACATGTCATAATGCTGCTAGGTAATAGACAGTGCATTTTAAATTATTTTAGAAGTTCAACTACAAAATACATTTTTAAAAATGTTTTGATGATTTATGTTACGAGATGAAAAGCTATTGAGGGCTCCATTGATGAAAAAAAGGTGTCTGAAGGGCGTGGGCTATTTAATGTTACTTTTTGGAGCAGCTGACTGACATTGTTCATATTATTATATAAGTAGTAGTAAAGAAGTCAATAGCGTATGTATTGTCGAATAAGATTTTAAATTTTTTGTAAATCACAATGACTATTGTCAGTTTTCTTCTATACCCGATATAGGTAAAATGAATTGTTGGCATTTATTTTTACAATAAACCTTGCACCTTACCAGCTGGCTAGTATTCATGAATAGGTACATGATAATATTAAACCTAATAATAAACGCTTGAGTAGTATGCTTATTCAATACAATAATATTAAAACGTACCTTCTACTTACATATTACATTATGCTCACAACACGTCAACACAGAACACACAAATATCAAGAGCTGTGTGTACATATGGACGTATTTCATAAGTTATAATTTAATATTATTATATAAGTATTTACTGCAGTAATTATATTATGTATGATATTATAATATATTAATTATTAACGTTACATCATATTAAATTTAGTAAAATATAATGTTATACATAATATTATACTATCACAACCATGTGTATTTGTAGCCTTGTATAGGTACGTAAAAACTAATCCGATGGTAATATAACGTATTTGTATACATATATATATATATATGATTTGTATGTATTTTCTGTGTAGTATATGAGCGAGTCAGTCAGTATAATATGTACATAATCTCGGGAAAAGCAATCTTTTTCTCCTCTACTCCACTCATCAACTATGAGGCGGCGGTGGCGGAGGCGGTAGCGACGGGCGCCCGTCGCCACGACCACGGTGGCGGGGCTCTCCCCTCCAAACCACTGTTCCGCCGACTCCAACGAGCGACGACGACGAAATCGAAATTCACTCTCCTGCAGCTAGACTCCTCTTCCTAATAGCTCTCCCCGGCGGCGGCCGAATCCATCGCCACCCGTCGTCGTTCTCACTTCTTACCGTAGTCCACCGAACACAGCAGCTATACAGCCGCCGCCGCCGCCACCACTCGTCCACTCTCCGCCACCGTTACCAGCCATCAACGCCACCCACCGCGACCGCCGCCGCCGCGCCGCGGATCGGTCCGTACTCCGTGGTGACTCGGCGCTCCCGCCACCCGCGGTCCCGCGCGCACTCGAAACATCTAGCTCGACAGTCGACAAAGTACGGTGCTAGTGTAGTAGTGTGCTAGTGTGCTACTGCTACAACAAAGTAGTAGAGTCGGCGGCCACTACTACCGCCACGGGCGGCGTATATATGTACAATGTTACGTATATATTATTATACTATATATAGAGTATAATATTTTACTGTTATACATTCATTTGGCTTGTGTAGTAGCGTCTCTCCTACCCTCCAATCATAGTTAATCTTACGTTGGCCGCGGCGCACACCGCTGTTGCAGATACCATACATTCATACTATCCGAGTGAAGTCAACCACCACAGCCACAATGAAATAATAATAATATCTACAAAATTATAACAATTAATATTATTATTGTTATCGTTGTTATTATTATTTATCAATTTATTTATTTATCCGCGGCCCCCCATCGCGGCGCGCGTCGCCGCTGTACGCCATACGCAATCTATTCGTTTAGTTGAACTTGTAGTAGTATTGGTATAGATTATACACATTTTACGACACACACGTACACTCATAGCGCTCAGACGCACACGCACGCACGAGCACGACTCACACACACGCGCATGCACGCGCTAGCAAACACACTCGCGCGCGCACACACGCACACTCTCGCGCGCGCGCGCATATAATTATTTTATTAAATATTATTTACCCGATAGTGAAACTACAATAATAATGTATACAATAAATTTCATTCCGATAACAGAGAAAAAAAAATAACATTTATAGTTTAAAATTATACTTCCACTAGCGTTAATTATTATAATACGACAATTTACGCGTAAATCGACGTTGGTGACTAATTAAATTGATGTTTTTATTCAGTCGTGTATGTGTATCGCGTCGTATTATACATGCATATTATTATTGTTATTATTCAACTCTATCTATTTTGATAAATCAATTTTCATTCCTCGGCGATTATCGAAGAATAATCAGCTCGGCGATCCGGTTTCAGATTCTTAAGTTTTTCGGCTTGTTTTGTTGCGTGCGAGCTTATTACCAATATTCGATGCCGACAGGATGGACGTTTGACACGAAAACGATCTTTCACATACTATCATAGACGCTTTACATCAGGTAAACTATTATAATACTAATATATTATTTTACAATGGTTTTATTCGTTGACAAGAGACTGTTACCGATTATCCATATTATTAAATATTAACTTGATATTATGGGGAATAATAATATTCGTAATTAAAAATATTATTTGTTTGGTGTGTGTGTGTGTGTGCTTGCGCGTTTGTGTATGTGTGTGTGTGCACCTAATATGTTATGGTACTAATATAATTGTATTAAAATAACTGTACGAAAAATTAATATTAATTTAATCATTTGTATTGGCTTTTTACACAGCCATAGTTGGATTCAAGTAGAAAAAAATATTTCAATTTTTTTTGTTTGTTACAGTATATCATTTCCGACATTGTATATAAACATTATAATATCTCCCTATTTGAATTAAAATAATATTGTGTGTAGCTGAAATTTGATGTTTGAATACCAATTTATCATATTCTTAAAATAAAACTTATGATAATTGTTTTAATTGAATATGCACTACCTATTGTGAATTCTGTTTTTTCTTTGAAATTAGGTACATATTTACTAGTATAATTTTTCTTTACCGCAACCAATAAACTACATTTAAATTGTGCTCACTGATTTCTTATAATTACAATATATTGTGTACATTTTTGGATTGAAAAATATGTATAAGAATTGTATACCTACCTTTAGCTAAAATTTTATACAAGAACAAAAAATATTTATACAAGATTATTAAAGTAAACATAACATTTTATAAGTACTTTTCTACACTCCTTATTTTTACAAGGTCTCTAGATTTATAGATTAATGTATAATATGTAAACGTATGTATATATGCTATTGTATGTATAATTCCGTCATTTTCATTTCAACTACCAAGTATCTTAAATACATAGGTACTTAATAATAGAACTGATACTTATCTTCTATCGATGCCATTCGTTCCAATTTTTTCAAAATAAACTACATAACTTAAATAAATTTTTTTATAATCAACATTTTGTGAAAAAACTATTTTTACAAATGGATTTTGAAATGTTCACCATTTTTTTTTTTTTACTATTAATATTTGAGCAAAAATTGTTATATATCTATGTTAGGTTTATATATATTATATAGGGTGTTTCATTAAAAATGCTGGATTTAATCTTGTTATAAGTTTATTAAAAAAAATTGAATCGTCTACTGTTGTGATCATCGACAAAGAGATGTCGTTGAACTGGACAAAACACTCGAAAACCATTTCTTGATTAAAAAATGATTTGCAACTGCTTTGACGGGAGTTTTAACATCTTGCACTGAGTCGCACCATGGTTACAAACAGAACGTTAGAAACAATTAAAATAATTGAATAAAACAAAATGTTATTGCTTAAACCTTTACAGTGTTTTACTGTGAAGAGTTTATAGATAACAATGATAAAGTAAACCGGTCAGCCAGCACATAAAACAAAAAATACCCGGCAAATTAAATCTGGTGTTCTTAATGAAACACCCTAACATGTAGGACGTAGCGCAAGTGTCAATATATATCATTATAAAAAACAAAAAAAATTAAATAATATAGATTAAAACACAAGTAATTTAATTTGTCAAATCCTCCTGTTATATCCCGTGGCCTGCATGTATAGTTTCATATGTAAGAATATTTATTTTTATAAACTTAATACCATAGTGTTATGGAAAAAATATTCACACAGAATAAAGAAAAGCTATGAGGCTACTGCACTTTAGAAAATAAAAATTTGCTCATACCTAGTTGTCTATGGACTTCTGCAGTAATATAAATATAATATAAATGCAGTAATAAATTTAAATCTGTTACAGATAGTGTTAACTAGGATTTTATGTAGAAAGAATTAAACTATTAATTTTATTTTTTTAATATTACTACCTATAACAGGGAAAGAGAGATACATCCCCAAACAAATACCTTTAAATAGTGGACACTTCTAAGTATCTGGTGCTTTTTTAGAATAAATTGAACCCTCTGATAAATGAAGAAAATGTCATCGATCACCTATCACTGCATTATTCTTTGAATAAATATTAAAATCATTTATTTGTACTATTATTGTTTTTATTTTTATGTTTTAATATCAATATTCTAAATTCAAGGATAAATTTCTATTATTTTGAGAGTCGTTTGAGAGTAATTTTTGAATAACAACAAAATCAAAAATCTTTCTATTTTAAATATTTATTAAATACCTGATATTTTTTCCTGTTAGTATTTATTTTAACAAAAATTATTTTATTTTATGGAACATGTTATAACAATTTGAGTTAAAAAAAAAAAAAAAAATGGTTTTTATATTCAGATTAATGATATAATATTTAGTCATTTTTATGGCTAAGTCCTGGTGCAAAAGGTTATTCTTATAGAGATATTTTCAGATGATGAAAAACCTATTTATTAAGAATGAGGCAAATATTAAATTTATAGTATATAATATTAAAATTTACTTTTCAAATGACATAGTTGTAATTGTAGCTGTTGAGAAGGAGAACGTTTAAATAATTTTCAACATATTATTCTTTATGATGGGACATTTAGTCCAATACTCTAAATGTTCATTCTGATGTTAATATGTTACTATAGTATTTAAAATATTTCTTTTCATAAAAATCCCATTTACATAACTTAAAATTAGGTACTTAAACATTTATGTGTCTAGTATTATGTTTCATGAGGTGCTCTAGTACTTATAATTATCTACAACCCAAAACAAAAATAAATTAGCCTTACACTTTCATTAGGTATTTAAATATTTTGTAGATAATCAATAAATTTGTAATAAATTAATAATATATGTTTTTGAATTAGACACGATTAGTCCACAGTAAAATTTAATATTATGTATTACATAATGATGAATTGACACCTAACCAATTTAATAATATGATGAATACTGTTAAAAAAGAAAATTGAATGTTCGTAGAAAACCTACACTTATGTATAATATACATACAAGTTTATAACATTATATTTGTTTATTTATTATAAAATTAAAAATTAAAAATTTTTCTTTTAATTATGAATAAAAATAACTTCATACCAAACTAATTACTATGTATCTATTTAATATTAATCGCTTATTTTTTTCTTCTGTTTATAAATTACAAGAAATCAATATCATCTATAACTACTAACTAGTCAGTTTTCTAATTCTGAAAGAATTAAAAAAAATTAAGAGTTAAAGTTAAAATATATAATTATTAGTATTTGACTAAAATTTTAAGAGTAATGTAATAATGTTGGGTTCAAAAACTATATGACTACTATAAATGATAGTGTACCTGGGTATGAAAAATTTGTAATTTTATTTTGAAGCATGAAGAATGTTCTATTTTTAACAAATAATTATACCTACATGTATAAATGCATTATATCATTGTTGCACTAATTTAAAAATTGTAGTACTAATACAATATTTTCAACATTCCAAAGTAAAAAAAGTAATGTATTTCAATATAATACTATATCTTTGGATACATATATATTAAAAAATTTAATTTCTTCATCTACATAAATAATTAATAAGAATTTTTCATAAGTTGTTTTGTTGGAAGGTAATGGATGTAATAAATAAAAATATCTCCCTAATGTGATTCTGCATATTATTAATATATACTTAGTAATCTTACTCGTATTTTATATATTTTTGTTTATATATTGCTTATAAAAGTAAACTGGTTATCACGGTACAATTTAGGTCTTCTACACACACAAAATTAATTAAAACTATCTTGTTATTATATGTTAATAATTTACAATAGTTCAAATTAAAAATAAATATGTATTATGTAACTAAAAAAACCTTCAAATGATGTTCTATTTCAGCTTCTACAAATTATTTTCATTCTTTCACTTTAGATCTCAATAACATTCTATATATACTTAGCTTGGTTATATATAGAACATGCGTGATTTAATTCATTTGCTTCTTCAAATACTAATAGATTATAGAAAAATAAATTATTTACTTTACCTCTTGTTTTGGAATATATTTTTTTAGTCCAAATGGGGTCTGTGAGATGAAATGAAAATACAATAAAATGTTGATTTTATTAGTTTTATTAATGATGGTATCTAATAATTATGATGCTTCTGTGTTTATTATTGGATACAAAACATATAAAGGACCCAAAGTTAACTAAGAGTATGAACATCTATATAGTATATTATGATAGATACATAGAAACAAATAAAATAATCTTATTATTATGATATATAAAAAAATCATTATTACATGATATTTTAAATTCAATTTTACTTTTTAGTACTAAATGTAGAAAAGTGGACAAATAAGAATTTTTTCTTACATTTTTTACTCTTATTCAGTTAATATAGTTGATTATTTGTACTTGTATTTTTATTTTACATATTATACTTTATGAAACTTACTAGAGTAAATAATGATTACTTTTTGTTTTATGTATAGCTAAAAACGGCGAAAGTGAAACTATAGAAGACGAAGACCCAATGAGTGACGTGAAAGATGAAGTCAAAGTTGACAATGACAAAAGTATTGAGCAGCAGCAAGGATCACCAAAATCTGTCGATGCTGACATTCCAATGACATTTGTGGATACAGATCACAATTCACTAGAACAGTGTAAAAAAAATGAAGATACTGAAGAAAAGGAAAATGACCCGTCGACACCGGACGAAATGTTAAATACAGTACGTCTGGTAGGTGAGCCACTGGCCACACACGGCCCATACACGTTTTACAGTGCTTTAGCTTATCGCAAACGCGATGGCATAACAAAAAAAAAGAGACAGCGATGGAAAAAGCCAATGACAGGAGTGGATGATGAAAGCGATAACGCTGCCGAGTCTTATGATTCGTCTTCGTCGTGTTGCTGTGCAAATAATGATGCCGGCAATGATTTATGTTTCTGTGACGATGGTTCGTCGTCATCAAGGTCTTCGTCATCGTCTCGTTCTGAATGGTCAGTTGTGCATATGAATCATTTCTATGCAGTTCGCCCATGGTACAGCAAGAAAAACAGCAGTATTAGTGATCGGCAGCAGCTGCGGCAGCAAAGGCGTCATCGAGAAAACTCACCAAAATTGCCCAAAACAACTACTGCAGCAGCAGAGAGACGACAGCATCACTATCAGCAATCCGTATGTATTGGTGAACTGGAGCTATTATGGCGTGATGACAGCGTGGTAACGTCATCAACAGCTCCATCATCATCTTCGTCACAACTCAAGAAACGTAATAATAACAGAATCGTGCCTCCTGCACTGTTAACAGTGGCATCAAATGGCAATGGTGATGGAACAGATAGTATGGCAAGCAGTAATATCCATGCCGGTGCTGTGGTCAGTTCAGATGACGACGACGGTGTTAGTGGTGGATTTGACGATGATTCATCAACATTATTGCCACGCCGTCGCACTTTACCCAGACGCACTCGTCAGCCGTCGGCTAAGAAACTTGAGGCTGCTGAATCTTACGCTGCAGTGGCAGCTGCAGCAGCGTCTGATAACCATCTCTTACCACAGTCACCATATAACCGCAATCGATTATCAACAGCTGCGCCATCAGATCCCACCTCTGTGGGTGTTCCATTGTTATCGCCAGACGCTCAGTACAGTCATGGAAACGTCCTGTGCAGCGTTCGGTTATATGTGATGCCTGACCAGACAGCCGCCGGTCGACTCGGTGGTGTACACGGTGAGGATGAAGTGTTAGAGATCAATACTTGGAGTGCTAGTGGGGGTGCAGAAAGATGGCCGAGTAACATATTTATGAACGGCAACAGTAGTGTAGGATCTATCTACAACGGTGGGGGTAGCGTTGACGATTATGGTTATGGTAGTGGAAGTCATTCGTCAGGAACATTACCATCTGGCTGTTCAGGATTAGTATTGCGAGCCGAAGATTTTGTCGAATGGGTACGCGGTGGACTGATGAATGATGATGACGAAAATGAAGACACAGAATCTGATGATAAGTCATCAGAATCGGATTGTGAAGACAACAGCTCTAATGACCGAAAATGCAACAAAATAGAAACTTCAAAATCTAAGGATGAGCAACAGTTAGAGTTGTCATCATTAGTAACTGACACTAAGGCTGATGTAAAACAAAGTCAGGAAGAGATATTAAAAACTTGGGACAATGATAAAGTAAAATTAGAAACAACCCTGATCAAAGATGAAGTGATGAAAGAAATTTCTGTAAATCCAGTAAAAGTGAAAAAGGAACAAGAAGAGTTGACTGTAGCAGTTGATTTTGGTGTCGATAGTAGTAAATTAATGAAACAGAAACTCGATAGCTGTGGCAGAAACTTTTACTCAAAAATTGCTGTTGACGAGGCTGTAGAAGCAGAACATGTTCCCTTAGCTGCAGCTAGAATTCACAAAAAACCGTGTGAAAGTGTTACTTACCGCCATCGACACTGCCGTCGCCAGCGCCATGGTTTAAATCACAGGTCATTAGTAAATGGTGATAGCACTAGTACTGTCGATAAGAAAAACAATCCTCGCCATGATAATGGATCAGCGGTGATAAATAAAGGTACTACTTGCATTATACCAGATTTTGTTTTGTTTTTATTATTTTTGCTATTATTTTTTACAGTTGAAAAGAAGCAGGACAATGATCAAAAATGTTGCTGCTATTGTTGTAAACGCCGTCGTCAAAGTTTCCGACATAATGAAAAAAGAACAAATAGCAGTGTCAATGTGGGTAGTAATATTAAACAACGATTGGTGGTTATGAGCTACTCTCGATACTGCCGATATAGAGCACAATTGCAACGTAAGCGTGAAGAGCAGTTGAACCAGGGAAATACCCCTGTTGCCATAGCTGATAATAAAGAAAAGTTGATGACAGCCACATACCGTGGAGTAGATTCAATGACCAGAGTGCTATTTTGTCGGGACACATATGATTATCCAGCTGAACTTCTGTTGGAGCCTTTTAATGCGCAACAAAACCATCAGCAAAACACGGCAGTGTTGGTCAACCACATGGGTATGTGCATTATTCTTTGCTGTGTTTATTACAGCATTAGTGATTATATAATAATACAGGACATAAAATAATGTATAATGTCATAAATCATAACTCTTAAACAATGTAAGGTTTTGAAGAGTTTACAATAATAATAATAATTTAAAAGCATAATCATTACTATTGATCAAAAATTAAAAATTAAAAAAATTCCAATATCTCTGATTTTATTTTAGAGTTTAAACCAACAATTAAAAACAAAAGGCTGTGTAAGTTTCATGATTTTTAATTTTGATATTAAAGGATTGTACCAACAACTATTGCAATCACAAAATGTTAAGAATATGTAGAACGATTGGATTTTAGGTTTTTTATTATTTTTATTCTGGTTGGAGCCTATTTATTTTAAAAAGATTTTTTTCCTCATTTTTTTTAAAAATTATATTTCCTAGTATTTATTAATTTCAGTTGAACAATAATGGTTAGTGAAATATAATATTATTTATCATATAATATACTGTATGTCCATATACTGATATCAAAATTATCCAAATGTAAGTAATTTAGTTTTGAGTTATTTTAGCTAATTTGGCTTTGTTATAAAATATGACATTATTTAATTATTAATTAATATATTATGAAACACAATGTCGTCATACATAATTATGGCTTGATAAAAATTAACAGAAATTATAAAGTAAATATATTAAACTACACTAAATTATACGTTAAATTATTTAATATTTTATAACAGTCCCTACATTTTTTTTTAAATTTTGTCTAACTGAAATTTTTTTTAACTGGGATATTATTATTGTTCGATAGAATTGCAGTTAATTAAAAAAATTTAATTATTTGTCTAATTTATTATTATTTTTTCGGTTTTATTTTAAATAGCTGGTTTATTGATAAATTATATACCGGTACTAATATACTTAGTATTTGTTATCATAATATTGTAATGTTATTATATCATTTCAATTGTGTTTTTCATTACTTTTACAGCGCCTAAACTCAAAGGCTGGCCTTCTCATCCAGCATCCTGGATGTCATTCCGATGGAACCGAGTGCGCCGTCGGTTACGTCATCTTGAGCGTGGTGGTGATAGCAATGATGATCGACGTAGGCGTCATCGGCGTCGAAAGCTTAAGAAGAAATGTAATCGTCAACAAAATGGAGCCAGTGGGGCGACTGTGGGAGTGAATTATTCGTCATCAACTGATGATGACGATTCTGACGATTCAGATTCTGATGATGAGTCTTCTGCTTCAAACGATGCTGCCACAAACACCACCACTGACGCTTCTACCTCAGATTCGGATAGCGCACCACCGCCATCAACAGTGGTGTCTAAAACTGTCAATAAAAATAATCCCACCACAAAAGTAAACATTCATCACAGTAACAAAAAAACTATCTCTACATCATCTACTGGAAACATGATCGTTATTAACGGTGTTACTACAGTATCTGCAGCTATGATTAACAAGCGTCCGTCGGCGGCTGTCGGGCAACTTGGTCAGCAACAACCGACCAAACGTCGCCGTATGGTTTATACCACGGAACAACTTCAGAATCAACATGTGCAACAACCACGAGTAATTTACCAGCAGCAGCAATCACTTTCAAGACCTAGACACCCCCAGCTCCAGCAGCAGTCTAGTCACAGATCTAGACAACTGGAACAATTAAATCAGCTTAGCCAATCACAGCGTCAACAGCACATCCTTGCAGCCCAGCAGCAACAACAAAGACTACAGCCGTTAAACAGACGACTACCACCACCCATTTCGTCGCTACAATCTTCAACGACTAGAATAATACATCATCACCTGCCACCTTCGGTATCTATTATGCCAGTTATAGTCCCCACTACTAATAGTTCTCATCAACAGCTACAACGATTTAATAATCGACTGCAAAACCGGCAAAAAATACATGCTACTGCTACAGTTTTACCAGTCACTTCTCAGCGAAGAAATAATAATATTGAATGCCAACCAACATCTCTTCCACCTGTCATAATAGAATATGACGATGACGATGACAACCAAGAGTATGGATCTGACGATAATGGTCGATATAAAAAATCTACGATGGCAGCAATTATGGCTTGCCAAAGACGTGTTTCACGCCAAAATTTTAACGACGAGCAAAGACAACAGCAAGAAGACGAAGAAAGGCAGCGTCGGTGGTTAGTAGATGCTTTGCGATTGGGCGGGTTGGAAGTTACAGCAGTACCTTTAAATGCAAGTGCTGGTAGTGGAAACAGCGTTGGAAAAGATGCTAGTGCTGCAGTAACTTCACAACAACGTCGGCGGCATGGTGTTTCATTTGAATCATTGATGTCTGCCAACAACGAAAAGTATAATGGTGCCATTAAGAATGAACTATGTCATGGCGGTACTGATGATGACTCAAATGTAGATTCAGACTCAGATTCTGTAGTGATGACCGTGACGCCTGATGTTGTATGTTTATTGAACAAGTCTCAGCAACACCAACAGCAAATATCTCATCAAAGACAGACATCACCAGGAAGTGGTTCCACATCAACAACCTTGGTGACAACGAGTCATCATCATCAGCAGCGACGGCGATCAGCTAACATGAACCACGGTAGCATTGGTGGCCAGCAGCATACTGCAGCAGCTGCAGCGGCAGCAGTTTTACATGACAAAATAAATCGCGCGATTGATTCACTGAAACTGCAACAGCAGCAACAAAAGCCAAATGAAGACATACAAGTCAGTAATAAAAGTAACAATATATTATTGACCGGTTTAGCTAATCATGGAAATCCTATTAGTGACAATAATAATAGGCAACAGCAAAGACTGCGCAAAAATGGTGGTGTAATCCGTCAACAGCAGACCCCGGCCCTGCTGGATCTCTCTGTTAAGCCATCAGCGTTTCCAAACACTACAAAGCAACAGAGATCAATATCAACAGTCGTGAACAGCAACCTACAAAATCAACAAAACCGAAAAGGTCTAATACCATTCCATTCTTCTACCACTTCAGGATCTTCAACTGCAGCGACTAACCTGGAAATCACAATCGTACCTGTTACAACTTCGGCCCCATCTAATTCGTTGAGGCTTCTATCACAGCAGCAACATAAACGTAACTCGTCAGCAGCAGCACATAATAGTAGTGGTTCTGCTTCTAGTTCTTCTGCTCCAATGACGGTTAGGCAACAACTACAACGTCGGAATGCAACTGTGGTTTCAACAGCTACTGCATCGGGGTCCATTGTAGATATGTTATGTGGAGGCAAAAGTCGAAACCATCAACAACGTAATGGTAGTAGTATGTCTGTAACAACAACATCCACTATTACTACTACTTCTTCTTCTTCTTCTTCTTCTACTACTACTCCTTTGCAGCAAAACCAACAGCAGCAAATGCTCATAATAGCTGCTACTGCAATGGCCGCTGAACAACAACAGAAAACTGATAAACTTAAGTCACAACAAAATAAAAAAGATTAAGATGATTATCCACCAATTTTTTTCAGTGTAAAACAATAGTTGAGAAGATGGAGACAATTAAATTTTGGTTTGTACGAAGTATAATTTATTTATGCCTATATACTATAATCATAATGTATTATTATATGTCCTATAATTTTAAAATAACATGCATATTAGACTTTAGTATAATGTATTTGGTTTATTTTCTATAAAACTATGGTGTATGTGTGTGTGTGTGTGTGTGTGTGTTTTGTTACAAAAACTATAATATTATTTTTTTTTCAACGTATAAATTTAATTCATATATATGTATATATATACCTATACATATATTATAATGCATGTATTGTAAGATGTTAACGGTATTAATAATAAAAATTTAAGAAGAACAATCAATTTTATTATAATAATTATATTGGCATTAAAAATTTATTTATTTATATTAGTATGTTATAAAGTACCTATATTGTATATACCATCCTTTACATTATTAAATAATATGTTGTACCTTATCAATTTTATATTATGTAAATATAATTGTATGTATCTACTATATAGGGTAAGTTATGAACTTGCTTTTATACAGTTATAGTTTTCTATGCAGTTTATATTTTAACTGTTTATGTACAACTTGGAAAAATAGCATGAAATGTTGCAACTATGGAAATTGAGTTATTTGATTTAAAATGTGGCGTTAATATTTAAACTTTTATAATGTAAATATAATTATTATCACAATTTATTCATGGATAAACCACATAATTTATGTTTGTTTATTTGGTATATGAATATTATTTTGTATTGACATACACTAATAGGTACATCATATTATCATAAACTAAAATACTAGATTCTATCATAAAAATATCTTACTTAATATGATAAGTTAAATAAAAAATAACTAGGCTTTCAACAAACTGTAAAAATGTAATGTACAAAAATATTATATAGAAATTGATACCTAAATGACTAAATGTATGATAATACATTTTTTAAATTTAATATGCATAATACACATTATTATTATTATTATTATTATTATTATTATTATTATTATTATTAGTAATAAATTGAAAGTATTTATTATATCATTAAAATTGTGTGAAACAATAATATTAATTTTTATACCTACTCTATACAAACATGTTTGTTTTGTTGGATACTTAAGTGCTTAAAACAATTATTAATTGTCAAGATTTTAACTTGTCAATTGCCAAAAAAATATAAATTAATGTTTTCACAAATATTTTAAAATAAATATTTGAAAAAAACAAATATTAAATTTTAGATAATTACACATGAAATAACTTATTTAACTATAATAATTTAATTCCAATTAATTTATGTTTATAAATGAGAAAAAAATGTAATTAAAAAAAAAATTGTATTTATATTGTCATCTATATTTTAAATTATAGAATATATAATTTTTTTTTTATGTGTACTTAAATATATAAATATTTAAAGTTAAATCAAAAGATATTTTTTCATATTTTTACAATTTCTGAATAACCATGCATTCTTTATATCATAATATTATAAATTCATATTTTATACAAAATTATAGTATTTAGTTCCAAACCCTGCTTATTAATATCTTTATTTTTATAATTTCTTAAAAATGTACTAGGTATTCCTTTTTATTATTTTAGTTTAAAATAACATTAACAATAAGTTATTCAAAATCTTATACCAGAGGTTCCCAACAGGATGCTGCAAACTTGAATTGAGAGCGCCGTGAAATTATTTCAAATATAAGTCCTATCATATATATTTTTCACAACTAAAAAAAAAATTATAAAACGATATACCTACTACTATACTTTACTATACTAACTTTAAGGTGTCTCCAGAGTCTTAGAAAATACTTAAGGGTGCCGTGGGTCAATTAAGGTTGGGAACCTCTGTCTTATACCTTTAATTTTTATACCATAATATATTAGTTGATTAAAATTAAATTATCAAGTTATTTAAAATATTTTTTTATTGACAATATTATATTTTTATTTTGTCTATAGACTATAACTTTAGTTTAGGTATACCTAATTATCTAACTAATATAATTGTTGTAAAGGTTAATATTTAATTTACTGCTTAAGTTATTGAAGTAAAATATTTATTTTTTATAACAATTTAAGTCTTATTATTATCAATTAAATATTACTATGTATATCTTACACATTTTAGATTCTTAGCAAAATCGATGAATGTATTAGTTTGACAATGTTCTTATTTTTTTTTTGTCATTTAGAAAAAAAATACTTCAATCATCAACTTTGAGGCTGGTTTCTATAAAAAAATTGGATCTAAGTAGTACTTTGACCCTTGGGTGTTAAAGAAATGTCTATACTTAAAAAATAATCAGGAGAATCCAATAAACAATTTGAAGCTGTCACAAATTTGCAGTAGAATCATCAATCATAGATATGTGCTGAATTCTTTCATGAGGTAGGTAGAATCATTTTTGTAAGGGTTACTCTTCAACATCTTACTATGAATAGGATACAGCTTTATAGAATCATTATTGATTAAAGTTGTTTTATATTCTCAGTAGAAGGTTGTATCGGCAAGGCTGGCACTAGAAATTATTGAAAATGGGTCGAGTGCAAACATATACAGATTTGCTGACTACTTTTTGTGATTAAAATTTTATTTAAGCCATTAGATACTATACAACATTTTAAGAATATGAATATCTAGTTGATTAGTTTAATAAATACAAATTGAAACAAATACCCTTTGAATACGTTTAGATAAATCTAAAAGAATTACATACAATAGAATTCAATAGCACTTGAAAATAGCAGAGACAAAGCGTCATGAGAGTCAATGGGACAACCTCTACCCACTTAGAATACCTACAAATAATTTTGTACAAATTTAAATCTCATTATAATCATTTTATTATATAAACATTTTAATATTTGTCAAATTTCTTTTGTGTAGCATTAATCATCATTCATTATAGTAGGTAGGTATTCTATAATATTATAATAAACTAGTTGCGGGCATCGTAGCCAGCTGACGGGTGCTTCCAGTAAACATCCGAATACAGTATAAAATTAAATATCAAACGATACGCGTTGAACGTCTCGTTTTTCCTGGCACGGTGTTGGGTGGGAATTAGAACGTGAGTAGAGGTATTATAGTTGGCCGTTGCACTATAAGTTATGAGACGCGTCTCGTTGTTCATATTTTTATTTTAGTTTTGAGTAATCGTCGCCGTCACTGTTTTTATTTTTATAATATTAAAGTTAAGTATTTATCATTATAAATATTTGTATACATTTATAATAATATTGTCGCTTGTCATTAAATGCCTGACCCTGATTATTTAATAAGATTTTGAATGAGTGAATGACGGAATAGTACCTAAGTTACTCGTACAAAATAAAATATGAAATAAAAAATAAAAGACCGTGTCCTTTATTTTGTCTATATAATATATTTTTTTTAATTAGTTTGAAAAACTGGTTACGATTTAAAATAAATTTCATTTAGTTTCTAGTTTTAGGAAATATCTCAGCATATTATAGGTGCATTTATAGGTCTCTATTATTTCGAAACTTGTATACTTACATTGATAGTAAGTACCTAGGAAACTCTCGAAAGAATAATTGATTTTAATTTTGGTACAAATTATTTGGTAATGCCTTTCATAAATGTTGGTGCAAATTACACATGTATTATTTATTTGTTTATATTTTGCGTAAATTTTGGTGCAAATTGAAAACTGCTAAGTAGGTAAACACTATGCGGCTGTACGGTAGGCATAGGCGCAAATAGGGGCGCTCAGCTCCCCTAGAAATGCTATTGCCCCACCATAAACTAAATTGTATAGGTTTTGTCTTAATTAAAAAGCATATAAGAGCCCCCCTCAGATTTCAAACACTATTTGCGCCTATGACTATAGGTGTCGGGTGTACCCCGTCAATAGGGAAATCACTGTACCTTAAGAAAAACAATTCTAAACAATGACTGTCTCTGTCAGCTTGTGATAATAAATAATATATTTTTTGATATCGTTATTGAAGAAATTTATTTTACTATTCGCAATAGTATTCTGGTAGGTTGATTTTATTAAATTTTATTTTAAGTTCCGAAAACATTGTAGGTACCTAATTGTAGGTATTCAAAATATTCCTAATATTTATTTATTATAATATCATTGTATATCTATGTCCAAATGTTTATTTATATATAAATAATTTATTTTTGTTTTACATTTTTGAGTCAATATACTTACTGATTTAGTTGTGTATTTAGGAATTGTTTGAGAGAGGGTTAAGACATTGAATCACGAACATGTAAGTAGGGGGGCCCCCACATCCATCTTAGGGTTTCCGATACTTTCCTACTGTAAGTTTATAGGTATGTTGAGGTCCACAGTGATCCAGATACTAAGTGTATAAAATATATTATATTATGAGTACCTAAATATTTAAATATGTAGTACCTACAATTTTTGTATTTTTGGTATAGCAGTTAAAAAATATTAAAAATACATAGGTACAATTTTTTTTTAAAAGCATTTATAGTTCAAATTTCAACAATATTAATCAAATTGAATATTGAAAATAATTTTGTAGTTAAAAATGTGTACAATTTTCAATTTTTATTGCTAAGAATTGAAAATTTAAAACAAGGTTCCACTTAAGCAGTTTTTTCCGTAACTAAAAAATCTAAAAATTATATAATTACATATATTTTTTACAGACATTTTAAGTTCAAATTCTAGATAAGATTACATATTAACACAAAGAACAAAGTTTATTATTTTGTTGTAATTTGGTTCCAAAACAATTTAATACCATCCATTACAGCGACCTCTAAGACACCTAATGTACAGCAGAACCACATCCACTTACCCGCTTTTTTAACTTGGTATTTTAGTCTAAAATAAAGAGATAAATAAAGTAGGTATCTTGTTTTTATATTTCCGATGTATAGCTGTAGAAGTTTTGTCGCGGAGTTTCGGTGGCTGCAGCGCAAAAACGCCATAGCAGTGACTATAGTGAGATGGACTTATACCATTTACATTAAGTACCTGGTACCTACATTTTTTTTTATTACCTATCAATTTAT